TATAATACACCAACTCTTTAAAGAGACAGTTTCACTCTGATGGTTGGACATTTTATGGAAATTTGTCTAGATTTGCCCACCCACCCATCCATCCATCCATCCAACCATTCATCCATTCATCCATCCAACCATCCATCCATTCATATCAAGCTGAGAAATGTATCTTGTGTGAATTCAGCCTTGTACACCCCCCCCCCCAGCTGTGCCATATCTCCGTCTTCTGACTAACACTGAGGAATTCCTTTGAAATCTGACAAGCCTAACGCACAAAACTCCTCAGCAAATCTATTGCGTTGGTCGTTCAACATCAGAGGGCAGCGATGATTTACAGAAGCACCGAACCACCTGAGAGATTACAGGCCTGGATGGTGGCACGGAGGTAAAGGTGTTTACTGAACGTGCTGTTCTGCTCCTTGACTCATTCAGGGAGAATCTGTGAAGTGGTGGTCCAAACCCGGAGGGCGCATTTCTCCCTGGAGCAGTCAGCCCACTGCATGGATGGAGATCATCCTCTGGGTGGCGAACACATGCCTCACATACCAGGGCTGTGACATGTTTGTGTGAAGCTGCGCATGTGTGGATGAGGGTGTTGTTTTGGGGGGAGAGGAGGGGGGGTGTAATGTATTGGGTTCACTATAAAGTTCACGGAAAAACAAATATAAATAAAATCCACGTTAAACTACAGGAGAAAAAAACCAAACACGTCACATGGTTAAAGTCAAACTCCAAGCCTGGTGACATGGCTTCAGCTAAAACTATGGTTCCCAATGGCAATGGTTCTCAACTGAAGGTACGTGTACCCCTCTACAGAACAAGTGAGGTTTGAACAAACTCATGTGTAAAAATAATGCATTTTCATTATTGTGATCATGTGACTTTGTCGGTCATGTTACAGTCGGGCCTTTCCCTCAGAATCGCTCTCTCCATTCAATTCAACATTTCATTTATTTTTTGTTAATCATAAAAAGTAATTTACTGTTCATAAACATTCAACTGTGATAAAAAAAATTAAAATAAAAAATAAATAAATTTCCCCGGTGGAGTTTTTTTTTTCTTTTTTAAGCTGAGGTGAAACTCTGTAAAGAATTTCTGTTACACTGCAGGGTTTTTCTCCCAATGTTGTTGACAAACGTTTTCTCTCACATAACTTTAATGGATGGATGGATGGATGGATGGATGATAGATGGATAGATGGACGGATGGATGGAAAGATGGATGGATGGATGGATGGATAAATGGATGGATGGATGAATAGATGGATGGAAAGATGGATGGATAGATGGATAGATTGATAGATGGATGGATGGATAGATGGATAGATGGATGGATGGATGGATGGAAAGATGGATGGATGGATGAATAGATGGATGGAAAGATGGATGGATGGATGGATGGAAAGATGGATGGATGAATAGATGGATGGATGGATGGATGAATAGATGGATGGAAAGATGGATGGATGGATGAATAGATGGATGGAAAGATGGATGGATAGATGGATAGATTGATAGATGGATGGATGGATGGATGGATAGATGGGTAGATGGATGGATGGATGGATGGATGGAAAGATGGATGGATGGATGAATAGATGGATGGAAAGATGGATGGATAGATGGATAGATTGATGGATGGATGGATGGATGGATGGATAGATGGGTAGATGGATGGATGGATGGATGGATGGATAGATGGATAGATTGATAGATGGATGGATGGATAGATGGATAGATGGATAGATTGATAGATGGATGGATAGATGGATGGATGGATAGATGGATAGATTGATGGATGGATGGATGGATGGATGGATAGATGGATGAATAGATGGATGGAAAGATGGATGGATAGATGGATAGATTGATGGATGGATGGATGGATGGATGGATAGATTGATAGATGGATGGATAGATGGATGGATGGATGAATGGATGGATGGATGGATAGATGGATGAATAGATGGATGGAAAGATGGATGGATAGATGGATAGATTGATGGATGGATGGATGGATGGATGGATAGATTGATAGATGGATGGATAGATGGATGGATGGATGGATGGATGAATAGATGGATGGAAAGATGGATGGATAGATGGATAGATTGATGGATGGATGGATGGATGGATGGATGGATGATAAATGGATGGATAGATGGATGGATGGATGGATGTACATAGATACTAGTTTTAGTTTCTTTGTACCAACCCGGGGTGTAATTCAATAGAAAGTAGAGAAGAGTTCATAAAACCAAATCCAAGCTTCTTTTGTCATCTTTTTTTTTTTTTTACTAACTTATTCACATGTTTCTTGTGGGGCCGGGGGAGGGTGGGGGGTGGGGACCGAGAACCGCCTCCCTGCTGCATATATGCAACAAATGGGTTGAAGGTAGCTCAAAGAAAGCAGTTTTGCTGCTGCTGACGGAGTCGGAGATGACTGGCAGACTGTTGCAATGACAAGGGGGCGAAGAAGACCCACCCCGAGCCTGCACATTGGTCGAAGCCCGAGTGTCACGCCCGTGGGAGGAGACTTTGGTCGATTTTGAGGCGCGGTTGAAATACTCTCAGTCGCGTCCCTGACATCCTTTAATTTGAGCTCGGCAGCTGAGGGGCGACCGCTCGAACACAAAGATAAAGGAGCAACTTCAGATCTGGACCAAGATTCGCTCGGAATTTTTTTTACCTCCTTTGGCAAAACTCACTTTCCAGGATCTGGATTTTTAAATCCAAACTCCCCAGAGGGTTTTTTCCTTTTCGATTTTATTTTTTGTTTAACATCTCACAGGACAGCGAGAAAATGGGAGCCCATTCTTCCAAGGATGGAGTAGCTGTTGAGGGCAATGCCGCCGCCGCCGCCGCCGTCGACCCTGTTGCTGCCAAAGCCAACGGACAGGTGAGTAGAACCAGAGCATCTACAGCCACATGGCACCGACACCGCCCACTGGAAACACGCACGGTCCTCAGACGCTGGGTTCTGGGCTCAGAACCCTACCAGACAAAAGTCGGGTGTTAAAACCCAGACTCCTCCGACAGAGCAGCACCACGGCCGTTGTCTTGTCTGCCTCTCCCTGGAGGGTTAGGGGGGAGATATTGTCACACTTGTGACAGAAACGTCAGATTTGAGTAGAAACGGTCGTTTTGGGTTATTTTTCTTTCATCTGTGCTCCGTGGATCAAGATTCGTCGCACTCGCGTCGAACAAAAGATGCTCGACAAACGGGTGCAAAGGATGCAAATGCGCTCTGCTGGAGGGCAGTTAGAGGAGTTGGAAACAAAGCGGCTGCCGGCGCCAAATTATGGCTTATCCCCAGGTGGAGGTGTCGCGGTCCATCACTAGTGAAGGTTTATGATATGACACTAGGAGATGGAGTTGACTCCCGGGGGGAGTTCATCGTTTACAACAACGGTGTTTGTGCGTAGACACGCCTGTAGACGGAGCGGTTGCAGTGACACATGGTTTACTGCACAGAGCAGCAGTGGCGGTGAATGTTGCCCCCCAAACTGATCGCGGTATCGTCCAGTTGTTGGCTGAATGACCGACACAGACAGTTGGCCGAGATATTTGTTGCAGGCAGGGCAAGAGTCAGGGCACGAACCGAGTTTTAGGGGGATTCCTTTGTTCCCCATTCCGACTGTTTGTGTCGACTTTCACGTGTAGCAACACTGCCCCCGTGTGTCTTGATAGGGTAAACCAAACAGGTCAGTGCGAAAGAAACAAGAGTTTTTGTACTTCAGAGCAACAGCGGGGTGTTTACTGAACCATCTGTCCCACAAAAGTTATTTCTTCTCAGGCTGCATTTTTCAGTCAATGTTTAAATGTTTTAAATATTTTTCTTCTTCAGGAGAACGGCCACGTTAAAACCAACGGCGACGTGTCAGCCAAGCCTGAAGGCGAGGTGGCTGCTGCTGATGGAAATGGAACAGCTGAGCCAGCCAAGGAAGGAGAAGCCAACGCTGGAGATGCCATCGAGCCGGCTCCCGCAGCTGAGAACGAGGCTGTCAAAGCAGACGGAGAGGCCACAAAAGAAGGCAAGAAGAAGAAGAAGAAGTTCTCCCTAAAGAACTCTTTCAAGTTCAAGGGCATCTCACTGAAGAAGAGCAAGAAAGGCAGCGAAGAAGGCAAGGAGGAGGCCACCTCCCCCACTGCCGAGGATAAGCCCGAGGAGAATGGTCACGCAGCCAAAGAAACCAAAGAGGAGACGCCGGCTGCAGAAGCCAAAGAGGAGGAGGCTGCTGCCCCCGCAGATGCCGCTGCACCTGAGGCGGAGACCAAGGCGGCAGAGGAGGCTCCGGCCACAGAGGCTGCTCCTGCCGAGGAGGCCCCCGCTGCTGCCCCCGCTGAGAACACAACACCCGCAGCATCCGAAGGCGAGGCCAAGGCAGAGGAGTAACTGCCCGTGCCACGGCACCTGAACTGATTTTCGAAGATAAAGTATATAAATATATATATATGAGAGACTTGTGCCACGTTCTTAAAGTTATAAACAAAACTACGAAAGAAGACAAAGGATATATGACGTTTACTGATTCCACCACCAGTTCACTGCCTTTTATTAGTTTCTCCACAAATGGAATCTCACTGGGCCCTCTCACGACAAAGTGTCAGCTTGTTTCGCCCCCTCATGGTACACACAGGGACTGGCGTGTGGTGAAGGTAATGGTTTGAATGTGGAGCGAATCAGAAACACTGACTTTGTTTTCCTAATTCTTGGAGAAGTTTCCTTTTTAACAGCCTGGCAGCCCTATAACAGTTTAATGTTTTTGTTTCATCTTTTTTTTTGGGATCGAAATTGTCACTGTTGTGGAGTGAAGGCCATCTGTTTCACTCAAAATGACTGTTTCATGGACACATAAACCTTATGTTGATCTTATGAATTCTGAGATATTACATTCCTTTGTTTTCTCCCCAAATTCCAAGTATTTTGTCATGTATAGAAAACAAAACAGGAGAGGAAGTGGGGAAAGAGCCGTGTCTTCGTTGATGTATTCCTGTTCTTTTTCTGGCTGAAACCACAGTCAAGCTTCTTGAGTGTTGCAGTGTTCACATTAAAGTTTATGATGCAAGAGTTGAGATAATGTACAAAATGTGAACTTTTCCTCTGCAAACTGTCTGTGTAAATATGTTTTGGCCAACATGTTTTGGTTCTTGATTTTGCTATGGTTTGAAGACATCGTTCATTGTTTTATTGTAACTTTTAATAAGGGTAAATAAATGTTTGATCCCCAAAATTTGTCTTGTGCCTTGTGATTTACACAACAGCGACACCAGCCTGTAGTTTGAGTTCAGCAGTGACTTGGTTTAACCATAAAAGCCCGTTTAATGCTGATAATTATTTGATAAGCCTGTGATGTTTGTTGGAAGTTTGGTAGTAAAATATAATCTCTGGGCATAGCAGCCCATACAGAACAATTTCACACTTTACAACCTATGAAACATTAATATACTTGTTAAAAAAAATAATCTGAAGCTACTGTAGCTCAGGATGTTTGCCGAGAGATGCTTCCTCAAATGTGCTAAAATAAAAAAGAAAATGAATGTAGTAAAAGTAGACTTGGCCTTTTTCCTATTTAAAAAAATAATCAAGACAAAATATTTTTATGAAGTATCATAAGAGAGTAAATGTTCGGAAGAATCATTAGCATGACATTAGCTATTATTACCGCAAGGTTGGGATGTTCACCACCCTTGGTTTCCTACTATAAATTGTCAAAATAGCTGCAATTAAATTCGTTAAAATAAAATCCTTGTTGTGACATATTTCAATACCATGGCGCCCCCAGCGGAGGATTGTTTTTTTAATTTTGCAACGTGTTGCCGTTAGTATTCCAGAAAAGACCGATGCCCAAAAATAGCTTAATTACAACCATTTTTATGCTTCCAACTGTTAAAATACGTCATAAACCTGCTGAAAACAATCCCTCTTATATCGGCGACATATCTCATTACTATTCGTTGGTCTCTGGCGCACCCTGGCGGACATATATGTTGAATCAATAACTCGTTATTTTCAGGTTTCGAAATCATTTACGTGCCCCACACGTCGTAGAATATGACCTGCTAGTAACACGAGGTCAACCAGTACAGCTTTTCACGGAGTACAGTTTAAATCATTTCATTTTCTGAGGAAAAAGGATGACAACATCAACTATAATGCAATGCGCCATCGACGAGGTGGCCGAGTGGTTAAGGCGATGGACTGCTAATCCATTGTGCTCTGCACGCGTGGGTTCGAATCCCATCCTCGTCGAATCTTTTCTCTTTTGTTTTTTATTATCTGTGTTCTGTTAGTTGTATATGTCCATGACCACGGTATATTCTCTAAAACCCCTCACGTAGGGACTTTCGACAGTTAAGGACAATAACCAAAGGCCCAACGATGTCGTTAAGAAAACTTCAAATCACAAGAACAGATAAAAAACATATTCTGGGTTCGTTTACAGCGGAAATTTGCTCAATAGCCTTAGCCATAAAATTAACCTTCTTTAAAAGTTTTACTGTATTGCGATCGTATATTATTTCAAATATGAATGAGCCAAGACATGACCCGTCGTTACCTTCCTGCTGTAACATGAGTAACGAGGAGAGTTAACGTGTTTTTAATGATAGACGAATCTGTAGCTTTGGAAAACTACACTTCTGTTTCTCCTTTCTAATAAACGTGAACGTTATCGCGTGTTGTTTTCAAGACCAATTCGTGATTCGCATTTGGACTTTTTACTGTTGTGACTTTGGAAGCCAGTAGATGGCAGCGTGGCATTCTGACAGATTTCCTTCTCTCAGTGCGTCTACAGGATAGGGTGACGAGTCACTCGTTTCAGAATTAAATGTAAAATTAAATTAAAGTTAAATTGTGCATATTTTAACAAAGCGAGGGAGATTCTGTCATTTTGTGCCAAAATAAAATCTGAAATTTAAAGGAAAATTCTGCTTCAAGATGTACTACGAACCGAGTCATCAAACTGTTTTAACATTTAAACGCTAAGGTGTATTGCCGAGATCTCTAACTCAGTTTTCGCAAGTCAAAAAGAAAGTTTCGGATATCCGCAACGACAACATTTTTCCTGCAATTTTCATTTTAGATATGCAATCTTCTCTGTGCAAATGACGTCACCTTTGCTATTCATTTGAACGGTGTTCACAATTCCGCTGTGGATATCCACAACGTAAGTTACAGATATCTGCAATTGAATTATATATATCTGTAATTCCGATTTGAGATATCTACAATTTGATTCTGACTAGTCATAACTAAACTCAAGATCTCTCTAATTCATCATTCACTTCTTTTCAGATATCTTAAAATACGACTTGACTAGGCGACATGACGTTGTAGATGTCTCTGACTGGAGTTTGGGATGGTCATAGGTAAAGCAGCAGCAACAGTAGAAAGGTCTCTAACTGTCGTTTCGTCAAGTCAGAATTACGTTACAGATACTGTATCTCAATTGACAATTTCCACTATCCAAAATGAAATTACGCCCAGTCGGAAAGACGTTGTTGATCTCAACAATATTAAATCCGGATCGTCGAACTTGGCGTATAACTGTTAAAACGGGTTGTCATAGGACACCAGTTGCCTGCTTCATGACGTCACAGTGTCTGCGTTTCATAACAACCCGAGGCAGAGAGTACGTTTGCTGTCTCTACTGCACAGCGGCTACTGCTAACACGGTTAATCGAATATGGACATAGACGCGTGGTACATAAACAGTTCTGATGAAGACCAGAGAAAACCACACCGACTGGAACCGAACAAACCAGTCTCTTTGGACGAACTGGAGAAGCTGGGGGTGTTCTACAGGAAGGTACCATGAACGCCTCACGGTGTTAGCTAGTTCGCTTGTGATTTCAGAAGTTTTTACACTGTTCTTTAATTACAAACCATCTGAAACAATTACAAACTAAGTCAGTTTTTTAAATTAATTGATTAGAAAGCATAACTGTACACTGATAAAACGCCTTTATTGCACTTTTGATCTGTAAATTTTATGCAATGACTTGTGGGCTTTCTTTAAACTTAATTGGTTTATATGAAGACATTCTAGCAGTTTGTCCACAGAAGAACTTTGTGTTAGACAGCGTTTATTAAACTGTATTCCTAATTTCGTTACATAAACAACTTTAATATTTTTGACGTCACATATCAACAGTTTTTGCTCTATCCTTATTGTTATGAGTTACTTATTTGTTTTGGCTAAAACCAGTGACATCACCTGCAACTGGACTGGTTTGGGGACGCTTTGTCTCTCAGGCAAGAGGCTTCTTCAGTTCTAACAATGTCCCCAGTGGTTGGGGGGGGGTTCAATCCAGTATTATCTAGTTCTTGTCCCAGGGTATTGTCCCCAGATTCACACATCAACCCTCCCCTAGGAATTCGGTGTAGTCTCCTCTTTGTTTTACAGTAATGACCCTGGTTTCAGGTGTTTCAGCCTCTCGGTGTTCTTATTCCAGACTCTTCCCAGAATTGAACTGAAGCCTCTTGAATGAGAGGTGACACATCGTCAAGAAACTAAACCAGTCTAGTTGCCCGTGAGGTAACTGCTTCAGTAAGATGACTTGGGTGACTGAGAACTTACACAAACACTCCCTCTTTGACTGCCTTCAGAAGTCTCTATCATCTGCCTCCACCTGGTACAACCTCCAGACCTCCCAAGATGGAACAGTTACCACCAACTATCTTCATGTCCTCCTCATTCACTACAACCACAACTCCTCTACTTGGAGTGATTCTAACCTTGTCAACTTCTACTTGTTCTACAGCTGGATGCAGATATCTATGAATCAGACCCAGAGCTGGAGAAGATCTGCAAAGACCAGGGCTACACATATATGGACATCATCACTATTAACAAGGACGCGCTACCAAATTATGAAGAGAAGGTGAACATGGTGTTGGGTTGATTATTGTCTCAAACTGTGTCTGATTGTTTAAAACTGATGGTCAGTGTTTCTGAAACCTTAAAACGTCATTATCCAGAAATGTATAATATTCACTTTACAGGAGATTTATTCATCTTCTACCACTGAGTTCTTTTTAGAGTTGCAGTGGAGTTTGAGATTATCCCAGCAGCCAGTGGGCCAGGGCAGTGTACATCACATCACATATTTAGACAAACTACCACAGTCAATTTAAACTGTCAACATTTGTGATTGTGGACTGTGGGGGACACAGATAACATCAGGTAGAGAAGAAAGAAAAGAAAAAGAACATGAACCAACACCAGGAATATTGGACTGGGAATTGGTGAGAAAAAAAATCAATAACTGATCAATGACTGAGGAGATTGATACGGGATCAGTCCAAACAGTAGGTCACCAGATCATGTTCACACGGTGGAAGTTACAATTAAACAATTTGGTTTTTATTCGATGTAAATTACTGACTCAGTTGTTACTGTCCAATCAGAAGTGGTTGTTGGTGAAAAGCAGCAGACCTTCAGGAATGGCCATCCAACAAGTTTTTTTTTTTTGTCTCCACAGCTGAAGATGTTCTTTGAGGAACACCTGCACATGGACGATGAAATCCGTTACATCCTGGACGGACGAGCTTACTTTGACGTCAGGGACAAGGAGGACAGATGGATACGAATTGCAATGAGCAAAGGAGACTTGATCACATTACCATCTGGAATTTACCACCGCTTCACCCTGGATGAGACCGTATGTCTGTCCGACTCTGCTTTTATCAAATTGTTTTCGTATTATATTAATATTATTATATTACAACTGGTTTTCTGGTCCATAAACAGCTTATGTTTATGCAAAACCTCAAAATGACATTATCCTTAGATGTGACCACGTTTAGGTGCAGCAGCCCTACACAAAGATAGGTGTTGCTGCAGCATGTAAACCAGTCCAACTGGTTTCAAAACAATTCCTCGTAGCAGATTTCACTTGAGCCTGACTGTCTGTGAGTGAGAAGTAATGTTTGGAAAAAATCAAAACATTGACCTATCAAAGGTATAATACAAACTCAGGTCCTGGTGAACCCGTATGGCTCTTTTGAAAACCCTTGGTTTCACCCCCTATAAACAACCCCCTGTTTGTTTTTCCAGAACTACACCAAAGCCATGAGGCTGTTTGTTGGGGAGCCAGTGTGGAAGGCATACAACCGTCCAGCAGATGACCTGGAGATCCGGAAGAAGTATCTGGATTCTCTGCATTGACTCCAGAGATAGAGGGGCACCTCGCCATCAACTCAGAGGTTTAATTAATTATTTTTCCTCAGACTCTTAGGAAACTAAGATCTGAGGATACAGGAGGACCGCGTTGACCACTGTGATAATGTCTGTAGTTTTACTTGAAAGAAAAGAGTGGGAACCCTAATTATATTGCTCCACGTTGACGTCTCTGACCTTATGTTGACCTCATGGTTGCACTAGAATCTAGCAAGAAACAACAATTCCAGCCTGTTAATAACTACTCAGAGATCCCTTTTCCTACTGCTTAGCTAAGCTATTATATTCCTCCACACGATTGTGAAATTTCACAAATGGTTACATTACATTGTTCGTCCAGCAGGGGAGAGTTCGACAGAATCTGTGGTTGGTTGAAGTCAGCATGGTCCGTTGTACAGCCAGTAGGCTAATTTTCATAACCATATCACGTGATGTTCTTTAAGGTAAAATGATTTTGTTATTCAAACACAGAACATGAATTGTACTGGTACCTAATGTCAGCTGTTCGTTAGATAGAAAATAAAGGAAGTCTCTTTGGATGTCGTTTTATCTACTGAGCCGCGACCTTAAAATTTGTATTCTTTAAAATAAACTTTTACAAATCTGCTGCAGTTTCTTGTTTTAATCATCACAAAACTGTGAATGTTGCACACACACGCATCTTATTGCCATTTTTAACATTCGTTTTGTTTGAAAATTGGTCAATAGATATAGTTTTCCACTAGTTCGCAGCAGATGACTACAAAAACTAAAAGATTGTGTCAAAATAATCTCAAACATGTAACAGAATAAAGCACAAACGATACATTTGAGGAATATTACAAATTAAGGTGTTTGTATCCAATTAACATAGAATGTATTATTTTAGGTGTAAAGATAAATTAAAATCAGAAATGGAAATTAATTAATTTTCATACAAATTCATAACAGCAGTGTCCTTTAACTAATGTGTCCTGTTTTCCGAAGAAAATTGAAAAGACCTTACTGTTCAGCAAGAGATAGTTTTCTTTGAGTTTCAGTCAGAGCAACCCTGGTCTGTGCCTCTAGTCAAATTAAATCTATGGACCCCCCCCCACCTGGTAATATCACAACATGTTGCAGGAAAATGTTACCATAGGCAAATATCTGTAGTGACTGTACCATGAAGAGGCGCTCCACAGCATCAAAGGCCATACACAGGTCCAAAAACAAAAGATGCCACTGTGGTCTAAATGAACATTCTCCAAAATGTCCATAGCTAGCCTAATGTTGTTGGCTAGCTGTCTTTTGGACTTAAGTCCTGACTGGGTTTCAGCAATAATTCAGTTCTGTACCAACTTCAGTCCTCTGAGAAAAACTAGACTCTAAACTTTACAATTGTTATCAGGCCCATATATTGGACACCAATTGTCAATAAAAGAGTGTCTTTGTTGGAGATAGGAATTAAAGGGGTCAACAACTGTTTGATGGTCGAGGGGGGTCTATGTCTACATCTTCTTTAAAAACAAAACAAGAAGAAAAAAATCAACAAAAATAAGTAAAACTTTTGTTTTGTTTTTTTAAGGTGGACGTGTCAATAGTAGGTTTTGTTTTTTTTTTAAGGTGGACGTGTCAATAGTACAACCACATACCTCCAGTTCAGTAGACGTAACTGTCAGCAAGTTGAAATGGGATTCATCCGATGCCTGGCACGGTCCGAACAGAAATGCCTTCAGTAGTTCCACAGCGGATTGTAGTCCTGTGAAAGAACCGCATCAACGTTTAACGAGCAACACATTTGCTATGTTTCGTCAAATCTTTTAAATACGTAATGGCATGGACGACAGCAACGGACAGGGAGCGTATTTTTTCGTGTGGTTCCTCACAAATGGGTAGCCATCACGGCTAGTCGACCATGAACATAGACGCATAACAACTAGAGAGAACCGCACAGGCTGCAACCGAACGAACCCGTAAGTTTGGACGAGATGCAGGATCTGGGCGTATTCTACAAAAAGGTACCGCGAAGTTCAAATGGAGTCTGTTCGTTTTACGACCCTGTAAAGCCCGTCTACTTACTGGCTTCGATCAAACAGCTTACAGCCTGACAAAACGTATACTTTTATTGGCTTAGACCCTTGTGAGATGTTCACTGGATTGTGGTAAAACGTAAGATGCCGCCGAAGGTAAGTAAATGAGAGAAAGCGAATTATTGTGTTTAAGCCAATTATAACTAGTCCAATATTGGTCGAAATCAAATATCCCTATGATGATGTCACTGATTAATCGGTTATGCTCGATCTTTACTCCGACATCCTTTTGTCAAATATCCACATGTCCAAATCACGTGCTATGGAGAGGGCCAACATTCTGAAATGATTCCAAATTCTAATGTCCTGTTCTTGTCTATCCTTAGTTATACAGCTGGATCCTTATACCTAGGAATCCGACCCAGAGCTAGCGCCTCGTGTACGAACGTTGCGTACACACAATAAAATGGTTTACGTCCTTTTCCACACTCACGTTCGAATGTATCAAAAGTGTGGAAAAGGACGAACCCCAGGTTCGTACATGAGACTCCAGGACCCTGCTTGTCTACCAGCAGCTACAGTCCAGACGACGGAACCCTGGCTGATTCCATTCAGTTCACGTCATCAGAGTAAGGTACCGATCAAAAATCTACCAAATATATTTATTTACACATATATAAATAATAGGAGAACTGTAAGTTGTATTACTTTATTTAGTAAAGAGTGTTTTTATATATGTCATCTGTACAAATCTTAAAAA